AATCGCGTTGCGAATCTGGAAACTGATTTGCGATAATGGAGATCGCGTTGCGAATTAGCGATCGCATTGCGATTTTGTTGGTCATTTTGGTAAATCCGGAAAAAGTTGGTTAAAATCGTATATTATATGGGATTTTTGGTCACTGAGGTTATTTTCTCATTAAAGAATCTAATGTCTCTTCTCCTGCACAACGTAGATCACGGAATTGAAGCTGTCTGTTGATAGTCTTGAGGAAGAGAGAGATTTCTACTTTGGAAAGTTGAGAGACATTGAGATTCTCTGCCAAAATCCTAAAATCGAAGACTCGCCGGTATTTTCTCCTTTTGACATTCAGATTTTTGAAAAGGAAAAAAATTGGGTTAGTAGTAGAATACATTGTTTAAAATTTTAATGCTTTACAACATTATTGCAGATTGTTACGGCTATACAAAGGATCTTATATGCTACAGATCATGATGCATCAGTGGCGGAGGCGTTGAGTCCAATTGGTGAGATATCAGAAGAAAAAGGCAGTTTTGAAACCCATAAGAGGAAAAACATTTTGAACATTGATGTTGATGCTGCTGGAATTACCACATCGTCTCAAAGGCAAAGGCTTTCTGATGCTTCTGATGTCCACTGCAGTTTGTCGCCTCTAATAAGTTACTGATCAGCAATCAAACTATAGGCCTTTTCTAAGATCCGCTTGAGATTATATCTAACATTTGTTTCCATAATTTAAATTGTAGTCCAAGCAGTAGTGTTTTAGGTGTTTCACACTTCTGAATGATTCAGTGCTGAATAATTCAGCATCAAAGTATATTCTGAATTATTTAGAGTCATTATCAAATAACATGTCACATTTAGAACTAATTCATACAGAGCCTCTGAATCATTCAGCATTTGAATCATTCAGCACTTAATCATTCTGAAGTAAACCAACAGGCCCTTAGCAATGTATGTATTCAGATGTTTGCCAGTCAAATATTATTGACTATATGAATTTTACCTTTATTCAGTTCCTCTTTCTATCCTTCATTCAGTTAATTCAACAATACAAAGACCAGTGGCAGTGTCCTCACTTTGGCAGCGGCTGCCGTGGCTGGAACCTGCCAAAGACGCGGTAACTCGAAACTAATGGAACCATGATCATCCATTAATAAATGACCTTAAGAATCTCTTAACATTTTTGCAGACTATATGATTTGCATAGGTAAAGTACACTGTGACTTTAATAGTCAAACGAACAATTAACACCATTTTTTTATAGCAAATAACTATATTAGTTTTCAACTTAATAGTGAATCCTTACAAGGGGTTTGAGGCAAATTTGGCAGAATAATCCGGGCTCCAAAATCAGAGTTCTAAAATCATTAGATCATATATCTTATTTAGGGTTTTATGTTTTAGGGTTACCCCTTGAATATGGCTCCATCAAGAGTTGTAATGGAGAAATTTGTATTGTTCACTGAAGATTATCACGTAGATTCACATATTCAAGACATCAACAAGTATTGCTATTGATTGGAGTTCTAAAAGGTATTTGGTGTCTAGAGTGTCTCAACTAGGTTGAACCCATATCCTAGAGCTAAATTAAGTGGTACCATGGTTGTCCATAAATGACCTGGTGCGTGCTATGGGTCATCTATTTAATTTTCCATACACAAATTCTGAAGTTTTCAGTTTGTATATTTGTTACTCTCGTAACGTTTTAGAGTTTTTAACATTGTTGAGGAAACAATAGTCGAAAGATTTCTTAAAAACATAATTTTCTTTCTAAAACAGTTATTTAATTTTTTTATTGAAGTCTCATTTAAGACTACATACTAAATATTATTGTCTCTTGTTATTATTTTATTTTTTTTATTTAAATCTAAATAAATATCATCTCATTTCTCATACTCTTGAAGTGTTTGTTTTATGGTTCGTTTACTTTTTAGCACGGTTTTGTCTATCGTTTTGATAGTTTAGTGTTTCACGTTGTATTAATCACGGTATATCTCCTGATCAGAAAAGATCGATAATCTCTTATAATTAGATCTCCTTTTGCGACAGTTTATCCATGCTTTTAGAACTGTTCGTTAGACAATTTATCAAATTAATTCTAATTTTTTGTCCGTACATTTAGAAATGAAACAAACATTCAAGAGAATGTTTTAATTTTATTTTTCTTCACGTTTTTTCAATTTTTATATTAAAATTATGTTGCCTTTGTTTGTTGTACTCAAACTTTTTATTTAATTTATTTTAAATTATAAAATTGAAAAATAAAACCATAATTACATACTATATTTGAGATTAATTTCTCGATTCATACTAGATTATATATTTTTGTCTACATCTTTTTTGTATAATAATAGGACAAGGGTGAGCTGTCGGTTCAATATCAAATTTCTAGAAACCGACTAAACAGACATGGCATATAAAACCGAGTTAACCGATAGGGCTTTGCCAACTGTTTGGTTGGCTAGCGACTTGAAAGAGACAAGACAGAATAAAGCTCCACTTTCAAGCTTATATCAAATTATATTCATGAATCCAAAATTACACCGATTATGCTGTTTTCCATCCTCGGCAGTCGTGGCCAAACTCTGTTTCATGTTTATATGACTTTTGGTCCTAAATTGTAATGACTTTGTAAAGTCCGAGACTCCTATTATCCCTCCCCTTTTTTTTCCCTCAAGTATTCGTGTTAGTTATATATCGAAATTTATAATTTTTTAAAAATTAAATATATTGTTATTTTTTTTGAAGAGAATAAATTGATCTTGTAGATTGGTGATAGTTTATTCCTTTTAATTTATATGAAGAGCAGTAACTTGTGAGGGAACAATCGTTGCCCGACATTCTTCTATAAGAGGAATAAAGGGAGAAGTATGAATGATGTAAATAAGAACTTAAGAGATGAATCATTTTTTTAATCTTTTTTTTGAATATAAATATTCTTACTATAGGGTGATTTGCGCTGGATTTAGAGTTGTTATGTCTGCTAATCAACTGTTAGATTGTATAAATACGACTGTCAAACATTAAATATGATTATCAAATGTCACGTCAAGAGATGAGGAGTGGGGATAGAAGATGACACTCTGACATAGAGTGATTTCGGAGATAATTTGGTGTTCTAGGAAAACCTCTTAAGGTTCCGTTTAAGGGGTATGCTCCTTCAAAAATCTTTATTAGTGAAAATTTGATGTCCTCCAAAAATACAGCAATTCAATATCTAATAAGAACACCCGAGATCATATCACAATTAATTTATGATTATGTAGGATGATTAGGTGAAGATCTCTTAGCAGCTCTAGTTAAAAACAGTTGGTGTTGGAATGAGATTGATGAGAACCTAAAACACCAAATCACTGAGGCTACTGCCAATAACTCATAAATTCCTACCAAACCAAACAAGACATGTTTGCTGCGTTTGAAATTAAGCCGACGGTTGTACATTTTGTCTGTTTTCCTTTAAGAGAATTCAGTGTGTTGAGCTACCACATTTATAAAAAAGCAGTAATAATAAGCTCTACTTGTTTACACCAATATCATAAAAACAAACACCATTAAAATACTATTTCTCTGCCAAGTTTGAACCTTGAAGGGTCAATCTATCTATTGATGCATGTGAAAGTGAAATCTCAATTGCTTTTGTGGACAAAGGAAGCATAGGGGAGGCTTCCTTGTTGTACTTGATGAGACCTTTCCTGCAGTTTGTACCCTAAAAACATGGGCAATGATACATGAAAAAAATGAAGACCAGCCCATCCTTAAATTTGTGTCTGCGTGTCGTTTTTACTGTTAGTTTTTTTCTTCATGTCAATCGTATAAACATGAATATCAAAATGCGTCGAGATCAAGAACATGAAGTTGGAATTTGAATTCGGATTTACGTAATGTCAACTCTTGAAGATAAGCTTTACTTGGCATCTATATTAGTTGCATGATTTTGTGTGAGAAACCTGGTGAAATGGATCAAATCTTGAGCATACATTGGGATTTTGTTAGGCATGTGATTGTAACATACATGGAGGGCTATAAACGGGAAAGAAAGTGAAAATCCTCTCACGCAAAGTAAGAGCAGAGAAGCTGAAGATGGTGATGAATGGGAAGACTGTCGAAAACAATAACTTGAGAGCAAAGGGAAATTGAAAAGAAAGCAAATGAAGGACCACAAGGCACAAAAGACATCCTCAAAAACCAAAAAGTCTTACACATCTATTGATTTTGCCCGCCCATTTTCTCCAAATCTTCACCCATAAGCTTTCCAAGTTTTCCTCAACAACCAAGCTGCACTACCAAAACCTTTTTTCCCCTCATTTTTGTCACTTTCTGGTGACTGATGATAATGTTAATGCAAAGTCAAAACGAAAGCAGAAAACAGTTCACTCTTAAACACTATGCTCTATGCAATGCCAATTTGCTTATCACAATCATCAGTGCATTCAAAGTTCATTACCAGTGTAATGTATACGCCTTGGGATTTTACACACAATTGCAGACTAGCTGTTTCTTCTGCATTATGTGTTGCCAAATCCAAGAATATACGACCACAAGCTTCAAAATGACAAAATAAGAAAGTAACCCAAATGAAAAGGTCCAATGACATGCAAACAAGGAAAAAAGCAGTCATGATAGGTAATAAGGCCAGATGACAGCTATTCCTTTAGCCTGTAAAAAGATACCAAAGACCATAAGAGCAAAGAGGGTTATGAACTTAAAAAGGTTAAAAGGCTTGGCAGATCATCAAGGTTGATGGTGGGAAACCCTGCCTGTTAGCGGGGATTTGATTGTTGTTCTGTAGAGGCTTTTGCTGCTATGTTTGACCCTGATTCTTTTTTATCCCAAGTTTCCAAAGACATGCATTCATCTGTCTAGCCCCCCAAAGAACACAAGTTACAGGACAGTTTTGACTTTGGTTGCCTACCTTGACATTAGTTCTATTTTCATACCAATTCTAAGATAAATGGATAAAATATAATATAGATGTATACAGATAAAAGGCTACCCTGGATACATGTTCTTTCGGAGCAATACATTAGAAGAATCAGAAACCATAGCATAGCGAGGCTCTCGTGCCTATTTGACGAACTCCCAACTGACCTCCAGAGATGAATCAAAGTGGAATTAAGCATATACTAATACATCTCTGATCCATGTTCGAAAACTTGACCATAGAAGGCAACGAATAAGTGACAAAACACATATCAATTGTGTTAAAGAACGAATACTACCGAATTTGGAAAAGAGGAACTTTCAATAACATGTAGGACAGTACCAGTTATTAGGATCAAGGAATGATTTATCGATGGCTGTTAAGCACATCCACAAACATACGATTTAGTGAAGGTAGCCGCATTTGCTGGTCCTGAGCTCTACTCCGTTTGAACGGTGGCTGTGGTGATGACGAGACAGAAGATGTCACAACCCACAAATCATCCGAGCTATCACAGCTAAAAGACGCATCGATGACACCATTAGGGCTGCTCGGTATTGATCCATGCTTCCTTTTGTGGCCTTGGTTTCCTTTGTACTGGCTTTCCAATAACTCCGAGATGAGATCATAGCAGGCATTTACTTTATCCTGTTAGAAACAAAACCACAATGAAGTAATGGAAAATCTAGTTCCAACATAATTAGAATAGAGGACACGGCAAGTAATTGTGCACAAACCTCGCATATCTTGAGCACTCCAATGAGCTGTTTCTGATATTCAAGATAATGGCATGGTTCAACTTCCTTAATAACATGTAGCATTGTTGCAGCAGCAAAGATAGAAGGAACATAAAGCATGAATCTTGAATCTGGATCAAAATTGAATTGGAAACCTAAGTTAGAACTCATGAAAAACAAAAGCTTTTTGTTTAGCAATGGAAAACAAAAAGCTCACCAGTTACGAGGAAGAGAAGCAAACGCTCACACCTACAAGGGAACTCCCAATGCAAATGGGTCTTTAATCCAAGTCTCCTTGTGATATGATCAAAGAAGGAAATTGGTGTCACGGGTTTCATCCTCCATTGCAGTGTTGATAACACCAAAAGCTCCATTCTTTGTATGGTCTTTGAATCAAACACATACTCTGCTTCCTCCATCTAAAAAAATCCAACTTTATTTACTCAATAACAAGTTTAGAAACACAAATTGGGACTATAATTTTGAAGGCATTAGAGGCATACTTGGAGGTCTAAAAGAAGTGGTACTTGTGTTTCCTCAACCTTGGCAGCCAAAGACAAACAAGCCACAGCAGCTAATTGTCCCATCCATGGCTTGTCTTTTTGGAACTTGAAGCTTAAAATGAACCTGTCAAAGTAATTAACAGCAAGAACCATGGTCAAGGCATTGAACCCATAGTTTGCCTTAACCTTGAAAACCCAGTCCAAAGCTTTTTTACGAGCTGAAACTAAAGACTCATCTGAACAAGCATCGATGATACCAACATGGGTTTGTTTCTCTTTAGACATTAAAGAGATCAACTCATCTTCTTCCCAGAACAAATCATGTTCATTCAGGAATAAAGGTACCGCAAATGCCTCCTTTTTCATGGTTTCAGTTTCACTTTCAAAACTATAGTCTCCTAAATCTTCTTCTTCACATAACAGCCGGTCGAGAATCAATGGTGGGCTTTGAATCTGTTTTTGTGTCTCTTCTGCTTGCAGAGCCATAGCTTTTCACAGAAGCAGCAAATGAATTATCCTTTCATTATCATATCAATAATACCATGAAAAACACTATTAGAAGAAGACGAAGAGAAAGAAATTTAAAAAAAAAAGACAAAAGAGAGAGAAAGTTAGAAAGAGAATGAGAGAGATGAAGTAAGTGAAAGGTTTTATTCACGCTTTGAACCCTTTTTTATCCATTTTCTTTATTTCCTTTATTACTGCTATTAAGTCCATAGAATCTGGATCTTTAGTTCTTTACTGAATTAATCTCAAAATTCAAATGCAAAACAGAATACAAAAATCTTTCTTTAAATCTTCGCAATTTTATTATTATTATTTGTTTCTCTGTCTATACTTGTCAACTTTATCAGTAAGCGGTCACAGTCAATCCTCTTCCACAGCTGAACAATTTCATTGAAGCACAAATTTAAGCAGGCAGGGCAATTTTCAAGCAAAAAAAAAAGCAATAGAAACCAACAAAAGAAAATCAAATTTGCATATCCATACAATGAAAAATAACAATAACTTCAATTTTACCTCTTTCAAGTAAAAAGAAAAAGATCTTTCCCTTCGAATCAAAGCCATGGGTTGGAAAAAGGAACTTCGTTAATCATTAGACTTAGTATTTGTGTCTTTTTATTTCACTTTCATACCTTAAAAAATGCATGGTCTTGATACTATAAGTAGGCTCCATTAAGTTAGTTTACTTAACAATAGTTATCATACTCCAGTTTTAAGAACTGAATTTAAAATCAAATAACAAGTAAATATTTTTTTAAAAAAAGTAATTTTAATTTTAACTTTAGAGTTAATTTAGGGGGAAATCTGGTTGCTCATTTGGGGCCGAGTAATATATGTATAGGACAGCTGAGGCTATGCACCCGCGAGTTTTTCCGGGTAAATAAAAAATTATTATTTTTTAGAACCATCTCTCCAAATTATTGTTTAGCATTTTTAATTTCTAGAGCAGATAACTTATTTTGCCTAAGGGTGTGATATAGGATATTGAACAGTTGTGCATGCGATTCTTTTGGAAAGAAAATGATTCCTCAGCTAGGGGTGCTAGAGTCAGTTGGACTCAAGTTTGTTCCCTGAGATCGGAGGGAGGCTTAGGGCTTTGAAGTTTAATTGGGTGGAATAAGACCTGTTGTCTTATGCTTGTTAAGAGCATCTTAGCTGATGAGGGCTCTTTGTGGATAGCCTGGATCAAAGTTTATTGCTCCAAGCACGAGGATTATTGGAGTGTTGATAATAAACCTCACTTCATCTGGATTCTTAGGAAGCTGATTAAAATGCGGGAAGAGGTCAGTGTCCTATTTTCTGCTCCTGTAAGTTGGCCACAGATTAAAGGAGGGTGGATTTGGGAAATGATTCGGGACAGAAGGGAAAAGGTTGATTGGCATTGCCTAGTCTGGTTTCCCTCGCACGTTCTAAAGTTTTCTTTGTTCACGTGGATGGCTATCCTCGACAGGTTGCCCACCAATGATAGATTATCTCGGTTTGGAGTGGTGGCAGATCCTAGTTGCAGGTTGTGTATGAGTGGTCTTGAGTCCAGGAATCATCTGTTTTGGGACTGCAATTATTCGAGAACTATTTGGGAGTCCTTCTTGCTTGCTTGTGGGTTGCAATTAAGGATTCAGTTGGGAGGATAATCTTTGCTGGATGACTACTAACTGGAAAGGAAAGTCATTGCTGATTCATGTTCTAAAATTAGCATGGACTGGATTTGTCTATTTTACTTGGGAGGAGCGAAATCATCGTATTTTCAGAGGTCTGTCGCGTTCGTCGGATATAATTGTAAATATCATTAAAGGGGCAGTAAGGATTAAATTGTATAGGCATATAATGAATAGGGTGGATAATGTAAATAGACAACTTTGTGTTGATTGGGGGCTTATATAACTGGTTGTAACAATCTCCTTGTAACAGTTAGATGATTTCTTTGGATAAATAAAATTGATTATCCAAAAAAAAGTATAAACTTAGGAAAAATTTAGGGACCAAAGTGTAATTTAAAAAGTTATGTAATATGGTCCCGTAAATGAATAGTTTACCCCCTCCCCAATAATGATGTTTCTATGGGAATCAGATTTTTCATACATATTTTTAATTAAAAGCTATAAAGCGATGAAGTTCGAGAAAAATCCGGATAATCGGATCAAATCTGATTTTTGAGATATTTTTATGGATGTTAAGGCAAGGTTAAGAATATCATTTCCATATATTAATTTAGAAGGATTTAATGTGGATCATTGGATTTAAGATAATTTTTTTCATGTTGAATATTAACCGTTGGATTTAAGAAACTAAATTGTAATTTTTGGAAAATTTCAAGAGCAAAATTGGAAGATGAGAAATTTTTTGTTCATGATGATGCAAGGGATGATGAAAGAATGGTAATTTAGTGATTATCATGAAATTCAAGGGTAAATTGGTAATTATATTTAAATTTAAGGGTAAATTGGAAATTTAGCATTTAATGAACTTTTAATTCATTTATTTAATAAAAAAAGATGAAGAAATTTCGAGACATCTCTTCATCTTCATCCTCCATTGTCGTGAGCTCCTTAAAGGTAAGAAGAAAATTTTCTTTTTGATTTTCAAGCCAATTTATTAGGAATTTGGATGAAAGTATGAAATACAAAATTGATCCACATGAAATTCTCTATCATTGAACAATTTCATGACTAAAACCTTAAGTTCTTGAATTGGATGTTAGGTTTTTATGTTTTAAGGATGAATTATGATGTAATTGATGTTGAAGGCTTGTATGATGATTGAAACCACCTAGAAATGCTTATAACATATTCGACCATGCTAGGGATTATGATGAAATTGGTTGGTTGAATTGAAATTGATATGGACTTGATTGTAAAGGATTGGAAATGATGTTTAGAAGTTGAATTCATGCTTGAATCAAGTTGAAAATTAAGTCCAATTTGTTATGGTAGTTTCGACCAAGATGAAATAAATAGGAAAATTTTGTGGAAAAATTATTTTGAGGTTAGAATTGATAAATCAATGATTATGTAAGCTTTAGGAAGTTATTTGAACCAATTTGGAAGTTTGTTAAAGTTTAAGGACTATTTTGCAAGTTTTGGGAATTATGAGGCATTGAAGTGAAAAATTTCAATCATGAGTATTCAATGTTGAATTTTAATATTTGGGTGTTGAATTTTAAGTTTCAACGTTGATATAAGATCAATTTGCAAATTGGGTAAAGTGTGATGGTTGAATTTGAATGGATTAGGAAATAAGGGATTGGATTGCAATTATGCAAATAGGAAGGTATTGAATTGAATATATTTTTACAATGATGAAATGTTTGGGATTGACTTTAATAAGTAAAAAATGATGAAGGACCAAGATGCAAGTTGTAAGAATTGATGAAGAAATTAAGGATGAAAAATAATGAAAACTGTTTAGATTTTTTAGTCTGGCAGTGAGTTTGAAAAATCACCATGCTACGAAAATGATTTAGAGGTTATTTTTATATTATTGTGTTCGTATGTCAATATAGTTTTGTTTAAAACAAATGGGGATCGATTTTCAATTGTATAATAAAAAAATGTGAATTTTTTATTGATGACAGGTCAGAAAATAGGGCAACAGATTCTGCTCAAAACATATTCTGGAAATTGGATTAGAAAATTCACTATAAACTGTACAAGTTTAATTATAATGATTAATTTATATGGTTAGATTTTTATTTGAGTCTACTTTCAAACGGAAGAAATGTAATTAATTTCCAATATGTAGATTAATACAGAATAATGATTCTTTAAGGGTAGTGTAAATTGTCAGAATATGGAAATTTTAGAATTGAAGTGAAAATGGATTAAAAGTTGAAGAGTAATGATTAAATGTAGGATTAAAGTTATATTTTAAGTATTACAATTAACATTAACGTTTTAAAATAGATTTAGTATATAATAAGTATCAATAGAATTTTTTATGGATTTTATTACTAGATTGTGCTTATGTTAGTAAGATACTAATATATGCTTTGGAATGTATGTAATGTATAAATGATGAACATAAAGATCAAGATCAAAGAAAACTTAAAGGTAAAGAAAAAGTTCAGAAGTGAAGCTAGAATCACTAAGGATTACTAGTGAGACATTTCCAGGTGAGTGCATTTTTCTTATTCTATATGACATAAGGAAGACTTGCGACGAGTCAACCTCGAATGATTTGAAAATAAGTTGATTTCAAATCATTTTATTAAATATTTTCTATTATTTTCTAAATAATTTCTTATGAATGATTTCGGGTATGAAATGCCAAATGCATGTTATATTATATTTTGATATATATTGTATTTATGAATATTTTGATATTTAAATTATATATGAATTGGATGGAAAACCCCATTGTATGCGTATTGAGATTTATATTGTGTGATACTTGATTTTGTTAATATTTTAAAAGATTATGATAAGTAAAAGATAAATGATTTAAAGAAAATGTTCATTGTAAATGCATTGAGAGTAATATGTATAGAGTTAGAGCATTATAAGGAACTTGGCACGTTACCTGACGTCACGTATGTGACGGTGGTGCCACTAGCAACTGTATTATATTTCTAGCATGTTACCTGATGTCACGTTTGTGACGACGAAGCTATTATATGATATGGCGCATGTAACCTAACATCTTTGTGACGATGGTGCGCTGGTACTTAGCACCTAATCTGACGTCTGCGTGACGGTGGTGCTAAAGTACCGGGAATACATTTTATGGCACAAGTATAACGTTTAAGTGACACTGGCGCCTGCATACATGTGATGATAGTGCAATGTATTCCTTATAAGTGGCACATTGATACTGTGTTTTACAGTACTTGTGCATTATATAAGTATGCTACTAGCAGTTGCAATTTGTTTATAGCACGTAATCTGACGTCACGTGTGTGACAGTGATGCTATTATATGATACTGCTCATGTAACCTGACGTTTGTGTGACTGTGGTGTGCTGGTTCTTAGCATGTAACCTGAAGTCTGTGTGATGGTGCTGCTAGAGTACCGGGAATACATTTTATGGCTCTAATGTGATTGTGGTGCCTACATGTATATGAAGATAGTGTGATATATTCCTTATAAGTGGCACATTGATGTTGTGTTCTACAACACTTGTGCATTATAAGCGAATGCTCATTTGACTTTTATACCTTGCATTATTGGTGGTTTACATTGGGCTATAAAATAAAAAAGTGAATAATATAAGCTATGAAATGAAAAATGAAAATTATATGCTATGACGTTTAATTTAAATATACATGCATTATATTTTGTTATTAATATGTTTTATTATTGTTTTTATTTTAATGATATTAATATTTTAGTAGTAACTTAATGCATCACTAAGTGTATACTTAGCGTGTGATGATTTTCATACGTAGGAAAAAAGAAAGAGTGTTCAGAGTAAAAAGCTATGCCCAACATCAACTTTTGAAGATCAAATTTGCCCCATAATCAATATGATATCTTTTTGAATGTTGGTATTACTAGCTGACATATATACTAAATGGTTGTGATACTTGGAAATATATATGTTTGAATTTGGTTTTGATGAATAATATTTATTATCACTGTTTATAAATAAAGATTAATTGGTTAATATTTTAGTTAAATGATTTTTAATGCTATCGGAATGAAATATTTTAAGATCTTTGATAATAATTGAATTATTTTAGAAAGAAACAAAGTTTTACTGATTTTTGAATAAATATTGTTTTGAAAGAATTATGCGACATCCTGGACTCCTATGCGATAACGTATATGAGAAATGGGTATTACATGTATTATTATTTAATTTTCTAACTGAGGTTCAAAACTTAATAATTGGGTTCGGAAATACCTTTAAAACATTCTTAAATCTTAAATCTAAGCCTAAAACATTCCTTCGCATGAAAAATACATATTAGTGTCTCCAAATGAGTTTTAGACACTATTTCAAAAAAAAAGTTTTAGACACAATTTTTTTAATATAAAAAGCAGCATCAATTGCTGATGCAAATTAGCTCAAAGATTGCCGGCAAATTGTAGACTCCGACTAAAGTTGAGCGTCGATTTAATCAAGGGAGGAGTGTTGAAAGAGTGAACCTGAAAGGAAGAGACCAGTTCGGCAATGCCATCCACAATCTTGTTGCATTCGTAAGGCGCATAGAAAAACTCTAAATTCCAACAACGTCTAGTAAGGTCGATAAGGTGTGCTACTAGGGACAGACCTCTAACTGGAGTCGCTTCCCAGCCGATCGTAGAAAGAGCTTCCCTACTATCCATCTCAACGTACGATAACCGTTTGTAAATTCAAAATTCACACCTATAGATTTAGAAAAATCTCCAATCTAATAAAGGAAAGAATCCCAAAAGCACCGTCACAAGTAGTCAAATCCAATTTGAGGGTCTCGCCAAATTTAATCTTTAGCCATTAACAAACACCACTAAGCATGCTTAGTCACCATGAACAAACCTCCATTAATTCTTAATAAAAGCTCTGCACTTATTTAAAAAAGTCAAAAAAGGCAAAATGTTCTGAGATTGTCTTTAAATCTTCCTGCTGGTCCCTTTGGCAGTGTCTGAAACTCTCAAGATACGAAGAGCAGAAGCATAAATATCAACAAAGCATACCTTCTTTTTTTCTTGTGGTTTTTATATAATTTGAAAATTTAGTGACAATATTTTTTTTAAATTTCTAGTGGCCAGAATAGGACAGAAACAAAGTTGAATGGTTGAAATTGGTAATTTATTCTTAAGATGAAAGTTTATTAAAGGTGGGGAAACCTTTTATTTCAAGTCCAACTGTACGTTTGGAAATGAGAAGTAGCTGGAAAAGAATTGAAGCAAAAAGCTAAAACGGCAATTTTCCCATCTAATTTAGTTGAAGCTACTTATTATGAAACGGCAAAAGGCGTGTATTTCCGACCCAATACACACAAGTCAATAGTTTAAATGAGAAATCAACGAACTCAAATTCATTTATCGAGCACAACTCGACCCACCGGTTTTACAACCTTACACCTCATTATGCCAAACACAACACCTAAATTTGCCATACATGCCGGCAATCATGCTTCATCCATCCATCTTATCATTTTCCAGATTAATTGTTTAACAAAAAGGCCTAAAAAAGAATGAGCTAAAAAGGGCCATGGCCTCTCATGCAAAATTCAACGAAATCATGATACTAAGCTTCCTTTTACGTATTATATTATGAAAAGAACGTGTGATCTAAAAATAACTATTACATTAATATCGTATGAGTTAATTACGTAATATGTTTTTAAACTATGATTGTGAGATTAATTTAGAATAAATATTGATAACTTGATTTCTCTAATCGAATGTTGACAATCCAACTATATATCAAGGTGTTTCTAGATAAACACATTAGTTATGTTTCTTGTTAAGGATGGAAAGTGATAGAGAAAAATAATAATGAAACATGATTGCATGTCAGAGAGGCAATGGATTGTTTTGGGATCAATGGATGTAATCATGAGATATATAGGTTTTCTTTCGTGGATGCATGCAAGACATTTGCACAAGCATCATCATTAAACACATACACTTGCAAAAAGGAATGCTCCAAACATAGATGGATGGAGGGAGAGTGACGATTCTTGAAAATTTTAAAATTTTATATATTTTAAGGTTATTTTTATATTTTTGATTTAAAATTTATTTCTGAAATACAATCCTAATTATTTGAATCTTAAAATTTAAAATCTAAATTTCTAATTTTAAAACCATTAACTCTAAATTTTAAATCCAAAAACTATAAATCTTAAATCCTAAACAATACTCATGACATTAAAATATAAAAACTTATATAATATATACATCCTATGTATCGAATAATTTTCCAAATAATAAAAGTTCAAATTGTTTTGAATTCTAAAGGCTTTCACGAGAAATTATCTTATTTAATTTTGATGAAGATAAGCAACATTAAAAAGTTATTTCAGTGTGTATTTTATCTTTATTTAATAATAGTCAATTACTTCGAAAAAATTAACCTTATTTATTTAAATACTATGGGCCGCCGCATAGCCTGGGATAGCCCAATTTAAGTCATACTCAAATACTCTCCATTTGTTGAGCTCAATAAAAAGCTAACATGAATTTTATTTTTACATGTATTTAATAAAAAATTGCTTTTTTATTTTATTTATTTAAAAATAAAAATTTATTGATATTTACTCAAAATTAAATAATATCAGCATCAAAATTTCAATCAATTGTAAAACCAAATTATATTTGAGAAAAATGGCATCTCTCTCTCTTTGTAAATTAAAGTTGCCACTTTATTTTTTTAGAACCACTGGTATCCAATTTATTAATTAACTAGTTCGGATAGGGTACTATAAAAGTAAAGACGATCCTCCTAACCCAGTTTGCTCCATTGTAAATGTCAGAATTTAAACTCCTAACATCATTTAAAAAATCTATACCTCATCCTACTAGATCAATTGATTATTGATAAGTTGTCACTTTACTTAGTTCACTAAGCTTATCATTTGTTAGTTTTTTTATAATTATTATTTTAACTTTCATTATAATTATTTTATCTAATTTTAAGAATTAATTTAAAATTGACCTTTTTATTAATGTATCACATCATCTAGTTAACGATCGGTAATAGCTCATAACTAAAATATAACAATTGATAATAAAATTGACCAAAATTTAATAAAACGATAACACAAGTGATTGAAACAACTTTTTAAAAACTGTAATAAAAATAATCATATTGATAATTAATCTTAGATTAAATTAGATTTAATCGAAATGAATCATGAGAAAGTTGCAAGAAAATGCTTAATTTTGAAGTTTTTTTTTAGTTATTATTATATCAATGCTGATTATTGGAGAGATGATATACCTTGTTTATAGAGGAGAGAGCTTAGATTGCAAGCTTTTGGTGCCTAAACCAGTGTTATGAAATGTGATTTAATAGGGGTATCTTTATGATAGTCTATTTTATTTAATAAATACATAGTTCTAAATAAATAAAAATTAGAGTTTGTGAATTTCTGTTAAGAGAAAAGACTTTGGAATTGAAATTGCATGAATCATAAGTCACACCAATACCAGTTTCCCATCTGGTGTGCTTGATAAACAAATATATACACCACAATGACAATGTCCGAGCATCATCACTTGCTCAGTCTTGGTCTTCAATTGCAGAAAAGAATTCAAGCACTACTGATTTGTTCAGTGCTTTCCTTGTGGTAAGGTTTGATGATATTTCCCCCATTCTTAACTGGATATGAAGCCTCCATTGCAATGCCACACTTTCCAATATTGCCATTAACAATATTACGCTCCATCCTTATAGATCCATTTTCACCCCATTCTCTGCCCCATGAGTTCCTCACGATCCAGTAGTCTCCGCCGTTTTCATCGGTGCCGTATCCGACCACCACCACACCGTGGTCTAAAGCCGACCCGCATTCTCCATTGAAAACTCCCTGAAAATACGTTCAAACAATGACAAATTATATATAAAAAAAACAGTGACTATTTTTGCATGAGACGTCTCTAGTGAGCTTACCGATTCATAGAATTGGAAAGCTCTGCCACTGGCTTCAATGGCGATGCTCACAGGCTGATGGGCGACGGCCTTTTTTAAAGCGTTCTCGTCATTTGGAATAACATCCTCGTACCCATCAATGCTAACAACCTTAACATTCTTCTGTTAAAAGAAAAGGCATCAGAATCCATAACCATAAACTGAAACTGCAAGATTACTGTTGAGTCAGGGTTTAAGCATTGGAAACTGACTTTTGCTGGATCACATCGGTTATCAAAGCCGAGATAAGGATAGTCTTTTTCAGTGTCGATGCCGCCATTGTTGATGATGAATTGGAAGGCATAGTCCATTAGGCCACCGTTGCAACCAGAGTCGTAGGATTGGTCACAATCTACGAGTTCTTGTTCCGATAAAGAGATAAGTTCCCCAGTCACAATTTTGTTTATGGCTTCCACTGCTGCAATCGTTGAGAACGCCCAGCAACTTCCTGATCAAAGTGGAAAAATATATATATAGATGATGAAAAACATATTTGGAACATAAAAACAAAACAAATTTACTCACCGCAAGATCCTTGATCTTTCACCGGACTAACAGCTCCATGCTCTCTCCAGTCAACCGAATCCGGTAAGTTCTCACCGAAACGGTAAGCATAACGGCGGCTAGGGTTCTTGGACTTCATGACTCGACGCATAGGGTCAGTCTTGGTACCTAAGAACTTGGCTCGGTACTCTTGGTTAGTTAAATCAGCAAACTTATTCAACCCAAGCTTGAATGTAGTGTTCTTGGAATTAAGATTGTGTTCATCAATGAATCTCAAATTATCCTTAAAAATTTCGAACCTCTTCTCTTCTTCTCCGATACCGTTGTAGGCTTTGGCGTGTTTGATGAGCCATGATTTGTACAAGCCCAATTCTTCATCATCGCTTCTCCAGGTCGATGATGAAGAAGCGAAGGTGAGGAAGAATAAGAAGAAGGAGAGAAGAAAGGTGGAAATGGGTAGTTCCATAGGAAGTTTCGAAAAGGATTTGTGTGTTTGTATTGTTGGAGAGGAAAGGTTTGAGGAGATGGAGGACTAAAGAGAGTTTGGGGGTGTGTTTATAAAGGCAACATGGACATGGTTTAATAATTAGAAATCGTACAGTATAACATTCACGGCGGTGGGAAAATAGTATTATTTTTAAAGGTTAAAGTACGTAAATGGTCCCCATACTATAGAGTATTATTTTGTTAAGTATCTTAACTATTAAAATTTATAAAATGGTCATCTAATTATTCAATTGTTCTAAACTCATTCTTTTCTGTTAAAAATTTAACAGTTATTTAAGCTAGATGTTAATATGTTGACTATGATATGATAAAATTTGATCCCATGATCATTTAAGTTGTATATTCGTTTGAGGTTTTGAGATCAAGTTTTATTATATCTCAATCAACAAGTTAACATTCAACTCATACGTCCGTTAACTTTTTATTGATAATGACAAGTTTAAAACATATGAATAGTCTGATGATCATTTTATAACTTTTAATAGGCAGGGGACTCAACAAAGTACCTCCCTATAATTGAGGACCATTTTATAACTTTAATAGTTAGAGAACTCAACAAAGTAATATCTTATAATTAGGGACCTATTTGTGTACTTTAACCTTTAAAAAATGAGGCTTTCGGCGTTGGAACTTGGATAAATCGCAGTGCAATGCAATATGTGAATTTTTTAATGACAAAATTGTTTAATGTATGATTTAAATTAATAAAATATTGTGTTTAAATTTCTTTTAGAAAAATAAAATAAAAAATGGCTGTCACTTTTTCTCATATGTATGGGGTAAGAGGAGATAAGATAGTAGGCTACCCCAAACACCAGGTTGAAAGCAGCTTCCGTAAGAGACCTCCGAATTATGAAATGTCCTCCGTAGGACTCGATCCCACGACCTCAAGGTTAAGAACCTTGTGAAAAATAAAATAAGTATATGATAAATATTAAAGTATTACAGATAAATCTATTGGGATAAAATTATCAAAAAATAATTAATAAATTTGCTCAATAATATTTATTTATATTATTATAATTAACTTTCGTTAATCAAATAGCAGTATTTATATAATCTAATAATTTAAAGATATAAATAATGTTATTTTATAGAATAACAATATTGATAATTTAGATCAACATAAAAACTAAAATATCTCATAAATCAATTTTTTTATATATCTAAAAGATTATATATTCATGTCCAAAATAAGGGTAAGTAAGATTTCCTCCTTACGAACCAGTCAGATTCCACCAAAAAAGTTGGTTCAATAGAATCAAAAGAAACTCCAAGGTAAATTGGAATAAGAAAGCCGTCCTCGTAATAAATCTCTATAAATTAGTCGACCTTTATTCTCATATGTAATGGAGTAAGAGGAGATAGAATAGTAGGCTGCCTTCAACGCCAGGTTGAGAGCAGTTTCCGTGGAAAACCTCCAAATTATGAAATGTCCTCCGTGAGACTCGATCCTACGACCTCAAGATAAATTGGAATAAGAAAACCGTCCTCGTAATAAATCTCTATAAAATTTGATCTAAATTAATCGATTAACTAATTAGATATCAATAATTAATTACTTAAAATAAACTCAGAAAAGTAAAGGAAAAGCATTCTCCAAGAAAAGTAAAGGAAAAGCATTCGCCAACTCTTTGGAGCAGGAAGTGGATGTCCATAAATATTTTGGACTATTTATTTGAGTAATTAATATTTGGCAGGAGAAACATTGCACAATTATTATAAGAGGTTGAAATGGTTGCAAGTTGCAAAATGTATAAACCCAAAATTTGCTTCAATATTCATATCTGTATTTGTCTGCAATTTGATCACTTTGGATACACCTCCATACCACTCCCATGTTCTTTTCTCATATTGTGAAATTCAGTGCTATCCATTGCCAATTTGGATGGAATCTTTTAATAAATTTTAGGGTTGGTCCTACACTCTAACTTGTTAATTCTTATCTAGGGGAGGGGAATTTTTTTTGCTCCTAATATATATTAAACATATAACGTTAAAACATAAGAATATATCAAGTGAATACTTTTAATCACATTCTAAACATTGTTAACATCAATTTGATATTACTAAAATTCTTTTATGAGTTTAATATTTATAATGCCATTTTGTTATCACATTATCCCATCATTTTCTATTTTGTTAAAGCAAACTATTGTCGCCGCCAACAAGTGTTGGTACAAGTGGTTGAACTTTAAAAATTTGAGTTTGTACGTTCAAGTTTGAATCATACCATCATCACTTTTGGTGTGCAATCTGTAAATTTTATGTAAATCTCAATTGTGTCTTAGATATGCCTTGACCCTGGGTTGGAGGACCAGTCTGACCTAATTTTTTTGTTAAAAAAAACTTGTTGCCCAATGACATGATGTTATGTCTAATAAAAATAAAGTTAATATTAAACAAAAAAAAACTCTTTTAAATCATGAAAAAAATAATTCTTTTAAAATACTCATTATTTATCATTCTAACGATTTTATATAGTTTTATTGTTTAGAAAATAAAACATTATTATAATTTAAAATACAAAAAACTCTAAAAGTTTGAAATCTTTTTGATATTTTAGAAAATTCTATATTTTTTTAGAAATTTTCACTTTTATTACATTTTTAACATTCTAACGAAAAACATAAAAAGTGTATATTTATTCCCATTTTTTAGTTTATTAATAATATATACATTTTACATATATAATTATTTGAATTTATATATTTTTTTAAAAATTACAATTAAGATAACGAGTTTTGACAACGTGATACTAAAATGATAGTATAAAGGTCAGATGGATAAAAATTAGAAAAGTACCAAAGTGAAATTTACTTATAGTATAAGGACCACAATTCCAAGATAATGATTTCGAACTCTCCACAATTCCAGAACCAACTCTGCAAAATACTGAACTAAGGCAAGTGCCGATTGGACACAAATGATAAAACTTGCTAACTCAAATGACTGATGCAGGAGGGGATCTTGGAACTGTCAATTAATAAAATATTTGATTTCCACGTGGAGAAAGGGTTATTTTGAAGTTCATAGAAAAACCGATATGTTATCCCAGTTACGGGCTTGGATGATTTTCATAGAAAAAAGTAATGTGGTCGGAGCTGCCTCACCCACACCATTTTGCAGATTTTTTTCTAATACACAGAAATTCAAGACACCAGAGACATTGTTTGGAAATGAATGAACAATTTTATTCTTCTTAGTGTTGTATCTAACCTTAAACCAACTCAACACAGCTACTTGATCCCTATTGAAAGACTGTATAAATTTGTAAATCAAAAGCATGCCAGGTATTTTCCTCTTGCAAGACCTGCCCACATACCTCGATGAAACAGAATATCGATCACCCCAATGACACGCCATAGATGGGAAAATACAAGTTGAAACTAGGGAGGAACAAGAGGAACTCAAACAGAAATGAATGTATAAATTGGCCTGATGATAAGATCATCTGCATTCTCCCTTGTTTCTTCTTGCACAAGTTTTATATCTGTTAATGCATGGACTGCCAGCCGACTTTAGTTTTGTTCAGAATGCCTTGTCGAAACCCGCATTTCTGTTCTTGTTTCATGCTTTCGTTTGCTTCGATGTTTTGATTTGGATGTTCGGGTTTTGGTAGTATGCTTCACTACTGGTTCTTGGATGCCCATCTCTGGTTTTTCTTTATCAGGGAGTTCAGGGGGAGCATCAGGCCATGGAGTGCGTTTTGATGGAATGGTGATGTCCAAAGGAGGGTCAATGATCCATCTACTCAATGTACAAACTAATGATCAGATGGCATGTAGAGGAGACCAAGCCGAAGCAATAGATGAATCATCAAATTATAGCATGCAAACCAATACACACATACAGAACAATTGTAGCCCGTGACGTGTGTAGAGTGCAAACATAATTAAAATATGCATGGATCATCATGGAGACATGTTATACATTAAACACACACACACACACGTGAAACAAACAAATAAAAGAACTTAAATTATAAGGATGTAGATGTATTTACTGTCACAATGAATTCCTCAAAAACAAGGAAAAGGTCAAAGAGTTACTCCTACCATCCTAGGTTAAATGTTGTTCATGATATCTCTTAGTAAACAACTTAACAAATGCAGAGAATCCTAACATATCAGTCCATAAGTAGGGTAAGTTCTCAAGGTTTTATAGAAGGTATCTAGAAAAATCCAGCACAAGACTAGTTATTTACTCATTTTCAACCCACATGGTTCGGAGGAACAAAAAGCATAATGTCTACAATTGATTCCTCATCATTTATTTCTGTGCCTAAACGTCAATGAAATTACAAGATTCTTGATGATGATGATGCACCATATGACGGAGATTTCACTAAAACATGTGAAGTGAAGGGTGCTTAATTTGGAGTTTGTCAAAGTTGTTCCAAACATAAGGTCTACAAGTAGACACATCATAACCATCAAATGAATGCAAACCCAATCCACGGGTTCGGAACTAAAGAAGGGGTGGGAGGAGCAGTGTCACTCCCAATTTTTTTGGACTAATGACAATTTAGGCCCCCATAAGTCTAAATATTAGACAAATTAGGCCTTGCCCCCCAAAATTTGGGTTTAAGTGCTTAATAAGCTCTTGTAGTTTTGAAGTTCAGTATTTTGACCCCTCCCGATGTTTGATCCTGGCTCCGACCCTGCCAATCCATATCTTATGTGATTTTTTAAGTTTCTTACCCCATGATCAGTCTGACATCAGTTATATTATCTAACCTTGTAGTGTCTGTATTCATCAAACCCAAATCAAGTGAAGAAAGATTACATATTTGGCACAATTATAAACCGTCACTCATTAAATTTAACCATTATGGAAGAGTTCATATTGTCAATGATTTTCATTTTTATCACTATGCAGCGCAATACCGAAACATAACGAGAATCAGATGAGAGATTCACCTGGGGGGGAATTTGCTATCAGTGCGAGCTTCAACTCGAAGCCACCAGAGTAAAACTTGACGACCGCAGCTACCAAGTGGCTCCACCACTGAAGGGTCCGTAATCAAACCCAATGGACTCCCAACATCCCCATCCATCATATCGATATCCTTAATCCATTTCGGCTTATCTTTTCCATCTTTCCAAAGTAACCTAGAATTCAAAACAAACCCTGACCACTCAAACTTCCTGGGCAACACAGTCAATCTATCATCGATATTAACAGCACTTTTCCCTGCAAAGGGCAATGTATTAAAAGTATGCCATCCTGCCAACATATTAGATGCATTACACGCTGGACCTTGAATAGGCATTCTAGGATTCTCCTCTTCCTCCTTCCGATCTGATGACTCATCAATATTAGCTGAAGTAGCAAGTATTCCGACGGAAACTGCCCCGAGCCATTTCACATTTTGGATCTCATCAAAAAGTTCCATGCTATGCATATTACTATCGTCCGCAAACATAACAATCCCATCTAGTTTCTTCTCTCTTACAATTCTGCCAACAAAGTAACACAGAATTGGGAGTCAACCCTCGATTATAACAACCTAATTCCTAAACTCATAATTATCAACATTTTTAAATTAAATAAAAATTTAATAACTGATTACCTTAGAGCGTGAAGGCGCATTATGGACTCCAATTTATGTCGTTCATCCCAGGAATTTGGCATCCGTTGATTGAATCCGACGTGGATAGTTTTCAAACCAGATTTCTCAATAAGCGACGCGGTTTCATTACTGACACCGCCCGCCTCCACCACGATCCAAACCAGATCGTACGGAGCCGCCATTAGCGAGTGCATCACGCCGGTCAAATGCAGAGCTTGGAATGTCCGGACATACGTCGGGGTGACCACAATAATTGTCCTGGGATCCTTTACACCGAATTGTAACCTCTGCTCCTTTTGAACTCTCTCTAAGATCCGATGCGCCTTCATAACTTCAACCGGGTCCGGATGCGGCCACGGACGGACCCGGATCCCGTGCCGCCCTACAACCACTCGTGAATTTTTCGCCGTCTTGTTCGGAAACGGAAACCGGAGGTTGTTGGTGACGGAGTTGGTGACAGAACGGAGTGAACATCGAGGGTTTTTGCCAGTTCGGCAGCGGAACGAAACGGCGGCGTGTAGAGGTTGGAGGAAGAAGTGGAGAACAAGAAGAAGAAGACCAAGCGAGAAAAACGGAATCCGAGAATTAAGCTGATTAAACAACAGAGACAGTGGAGAATAAGCCAAAAAACAGCTGCGGACGATTTATAGCCGCCGTCGGATGATGAATCTAACGGTCCTGATGACCTGAAGCTGCTGCTCCGGCGGCTGAGATAGCTCTGGTGCAACGCCGAAAGCTTCATTGTTTCCCCAATCCCAAAGCTCCCGTAAGAGAAAAGAAGTTAATGGGATTATAATAGGAATTGCTCTTGATCTGGTGAGGAAGGTGGACTTGAGAGTTTGATTAAAGGCTGAAATTTATGATTAGTAAATTAAATTTTCAGTTTTGCTGATTAATTTCTTTTAAGACATCAGCACATGAGTTTAGGGAGGGGACCAGGTGACACAATTAAAATAAAACAAAACAATAAGACGCGTGGAATTAGTTAAACGTGGGAAGATTTTACTGCTTGCTTACATCTCAGAAAGGTGCTGGATTTAGACAACGAATCATAGTATTTGATGCACTAAAGTAATTTTACAACTTTTTTTTGTCAATTCTTTTAATTCTGCTACTGTAATAATTTCCCATTGGCATAATGTCAATATTTTCCATCATCATTTATCAAAATAATTATTTTACTTCCTATTATACTTTTAAGAGTATTTTAACTCGTAACATTTTATTTCAAGACAAAAAGATCTTTAATATTTGACATAATAATTATTTTGTCTTTTATTTTTTTTTGGAAATTTTAACTCTTAACATTTCATTTTAGATTAAAAAATGCTCTTTTTTGAAATATTAATTATGTGTTAACTAATGATTTTCATCTATATAAAAAAATTTTTTTCCAAAATGAAACATCGATTAAAAAAAAGGCTAAAATGCTCTATAAAAACAATAAGAGTTAAAATGATTATTTTAATAAACGTTGGAGACTATTTTTTAACATTATGTCTTTCTCATTAATTCATATCGTTTCTTTAGAAATTTTATTATAAAATATCTAAAATAATAGAAACATATTTTTAATCTTATATTCCATGTTTAGAAGTGATCGTCACTCGAGAACTTTAATATATGTTAATGTAATTACTTATACTTTTGAATTGTCCGGCCAACTCAGTTGGTAGAGCGCAAGACTCTTAACCTTGTGGTCATGGATCAAGTCCCACGGTGGGCAATTCATAATTGCCGGAGGTGGTCTTCTACGGAAGTTGCTCTCAACCTAGTGTTGGGGGCAGCCTACTACCCTACCTCCCCTTACCCCATTACAAATGGGAATAGGGTCACTAAATTTAATTATACTTTTAAATTTGATAAAAATCCTTGAACATAAAATATTTGCAATGATGTGCTGTTCTTTGTCAAACGAGTTGCATATTATATGCTTGGTTTGTTTGGAGTATAATTCTTTGTTTATGAATTTTGTGATTTTCATTGAATTTATATTAGAGTTTCATAAATTTTATTAATATCGTTTATATAATAATATATGGATCATGATTATAACTTATTATATACTTGTAATTAAAAAAATCAATCGCTATTATAAGCGAAACTGTTTATAAATAATGAAATTGTTGGCAATATATGAGAAATTAAGGTCCATATAAGGTCAGATGATTGTAGGTGGCATGAACTGAGAGCTTCAATTTTACTAGAAATTCCAATCTACCAGACACGGGAAAAGGAAAGCAGTCGAATTTGCAATTTACTTTTGGTTTGGTTTCTACTCATTGTCATTTGGGTTGCTCAAAACAAAAAGAATATAACAACGGCACGCCAACAATTCCCATTTCCTACTTAACTGAAACTTTAATTCAACCATGCTATTTCTCGATCAAAACTAAAAAAGAAACAAGAAAGCTGCAAATGCGCATAAATGTTATAGATTTGATTTGGGCATGTGAAAAATAATTTGGAGTTTGGAAATAGAGATTGGAGTAAGAAAGGGAGAAAGAGTTTGGTGTTGAAAGTGGGTGAGTTACTGAGTTTCCTTTAGAGCGAGGCAAACATATGCATATATATTCATTTTGTATATAAAATATTAAAAATATCACATCATTGATAGCGATATCAATTTTAAATTAATCATCGATTGTTGATTTCTTTCTTTTATATTTTTTTCGAGTTTTGTATCATTTTTATCATGTTTTCTTTTGCATATATGAGTTATATCTTTTACTTAATTAATTATTTTTATAAAAATAATAGATGATTTGTTCTTCTCTTGTTGTACTTTTTTTATTAGAGAGAAGAAAACTAATTCTTATGTGATCATAGCAGCGTGGACATCTTCATGGCAGGCATCTCGTGCCTTTGCTGGTGGCTCTAGGAACGAGTGTAACTCGGCAGGTAGATTTCAAGCTAAGCGAACTAAGCCATCAACCACCAGGTTGCATTCCCGTGGAACGTATCTGAATTATAGTTTCAATTCTGTTTATAAGATCATGAATATGCGACATCATTGCTGAAATTTCTTCTATTCTAAGTTCTTGTTGAAATATGAATACGGTCTCCTTACTCTCAGTTTCCACTATAATTATCCATAAATTCATCTCTCATGCAATACACAGCCCTATATATATTCGCCATAATTCTGCATCAATCATAGAGCAATACTCGATGTACTTCGAGAAACTCATTATCTATTCACCTTTCTGGTCACGAATAATACTCCCACATGCAGTCAAGCCAGTCATTCATTGTCGCACGCCATCAATGTTTAGCTTAAGCCATCTATCTGGCGGAGCTTTCCATCGAACATCCCAATTAACTTTTATCCAACGATCAACCCTCAAGGAAATCTTCCTTGCTAGAGCATTAGTTGCTTCATATTTTAGTTGCAGACTTTGCTCCAATACGCTTTCGCCTGCTACAAAATTTAAATAAAAAATCATTTTATTGCGATAATCCATAAGCACCAAACTATCGATCCCACAAGATATCCCAATCCTCCAAAACAATGAGATAGTAATTAGGCTATCAAGCCAGTTTTGTTGTAGTACTTTTTTATATTAGCAAGCCTTTTTTTTCCTCATGATTTTATTTGATGTCAATTTTCTTGTTGATCTATCTCTATTTTAGACTATCAAGTCAGTTTTTTTTATTAATCGGTGTTTGTAAAATCCTCGAAGATAGATTGTAGTTGAATTGTGATAATATCAGTTTGTCAACGTGTTATTATTATTATTATATAATCTTTTATGTTAATTTTAATTATGTTTATATTTCATCATCAATATTCATGTTTGTTTATATATATATTAGTTTTTTTAATTGTCTAATTGAATTTTTAACCATCTCTTTATATAGTTAACCAAAAATTATAAAAAAATCTTTCTATATTTATTTTATCTTTTATTATATCATCTAAACAAAATAATTGGTCTTTATGTAAGCAAATCTAAAAGATTAAACAATTTCAAGCATTGAATTATTATTCCTACTAAAGCAAAAGAAAACACACGCACGCACGCACAATGCTACTATGCCAACAGCTTGACTCAATCATATGAACAATTATGTATAAAAGTCGACAAATTTGAAGGGAAACCTTAAACAAAAACCCCCATCACTTGATTCACATCAACCCACTAACATAAACAAAAGAAAGTGAAGGAAAGAAACAGGATAAGAAATTTCATTTCTGATGCAATGAAGTTACATTGTTTTTCATTGCCAAAAAAGGTTATTTGTTTAAACACACCCCCTCAACAAAAAAGGGGTCGATAGATCTAACACAAATTTCAAATCAAATCATGATAAATATTCACCTTTTTTCGACCCCTTGTACGGTATATGTAATGTTTTTATGAACTCGGATAAGTAGTTTAACTATGAAACATCATGAATCTTTCGCTAACGTATTATTGTTCTTCTTACGACAGTATTCGAAACTGTTTTCCTCCCTTCTTTCGACCACGAAATGTGCAAGCGTATCATTGTATTCCACCATGTTCTCCTTGCACAAGAACTCCTCTCCCGGCATCTTCTCCTCATCTCTGTAATAATCATGGACGAAGATATGAGTCTTCGGGTTGCCACCTTTCTTGCTCCTCGCCAGCACCCCGGAAGTGAAGATCGGTTGCATCCTTCCGGGACCGTCCGGTCCGTCTCCTCTCGGCCCGTCTATCAATATCACATCCCAATCCACTTCGTAAACGTGGTTCGGCAAGTCATTTATCCCGAGCTTGCACTCCGAGAACAACAGGTTCTGGACCGGTCTGCATTCGTTCTTAATCTGTTCTCTAGCGGACGCTATTAGCTCCCTTGTCTCGCTTATCTTCGTCGTGTATTGGACGTCGAAGGCGTCGATTTCGGGATGTAACTCTTCGTAATAGGCCGCGTAGTACCGGTTTTCATCGATGAAAACGGTGCGTCCGTTGTGGTTCAATGACTTCCACAGAAGGGTTTCTTGCGTTAGGCCAAAAACGAGGAAGTTGCAAGGGGAAGAACATTTGCGCAGCACATCGGAGATCGGCTTCAGCTCGGAGTATGTCATGTGGTAACTTTCGTTGTTTTTCGATGCATAATGGAGGAGTGTGTTGATCACTGTGGTCGGCAACGGCTGACCAACGATGACAGAGCCCGAAGAAGAGCCAACCGCAAGGCCGATTACGGTTGTGCTCACGGCGGCGGGTTTACCAGTAATTGACTCTCTGGTATATATAAGAGTTAAAAGGAAAGCAATAGTGAAGAAAGAAACAAAAGCAAGGAGCCATAATCTGTTTGAGCTCCCTTGTTTTTGGATATAAGGGTGAAGGAGAATTAGCTTAGTATTGCTGTTACTGTTCTTCATTTTCTCGTGGAGGCTTTCTCTTGAGAAAAAATGCAAATTATTCCCCTTCTTTTCTCTTGAAATGAATCAGAAGAATTTGTCTTCTGATGGGAAGACCGAGAGAAAATGGGGTTTGATTTAAAGAAGAATATGCAACATGAACTGATATTACACACAACCTAATAATGTTCTAAAAACCCAAATTATATAATATGGAAAACACATTAAGTATTTTTTTTCTTCTCTTTTCTTTTTAGGGTACAGTTGTTAACTACCGTAAATATCATTTCTACCACTTTAACTTTAAATTATTTTAATTTAACACCGAATTATAGTTTTGGGTTAAATTAGGGCATTAGGTAGTTAAAATCGTTTAACGACATGATAATTTGATTTTTTTTCTGTAAAGTTTAATTTGTGTATTAATTTTTATCATTAAACTTTAAAATACTTCATCTTTAAGTATTATACTCTAGTTTGTGTATTAATTTGGTCTCTTCATAAAATTGTCATTTCATATAGTAGTCGCCATTGGTTAATCATTGTCCATCATTGGTCGTCATTCGCGATAATATCAGTATCAAAATATTTTCATTTCACTCCTTTTTCTACTCATATTAATTTTTTTATGAAACCCGTTCAAAATTGACAAAGATTCATCTAAAAGCTCGATGTTCTAATGCTTAATCTCCTTCGAGATTGTCTGATGAGGCTAATTTCAAGGTATGTTGTTCATTTCTTGAAAGAATGTTTCTCACTATTTAAGTTTTAGAACAACTAATAAAAAAAATAGAACAAACATTCCAAATCCCTTAAATCCGAGAAAGCCTTCAAACCGCTAAAAATGATAGTTTTATATGTTTAAATTTGTGAGTTTTAAAGAGGTTTTGAGAAAAATATAAATCAATAAAATGATCGTTAAGGATGACTGCAAAATATATCTAAGTATGATAGTTTTCGATGACATTTAACAATAGGTGAACCCCTAATTATGATAGAGAAGATGTTGAAATGGAATAATTTTTTGTGGCTTTCACGTCAATACCAGACCACCATATCATCTTATTGTTAATTATTTAACGAATTAATACTTTAATTGAACTTGAAACTACAATTCAATATTAAAATTGAATCAATTTAAAGTTTAATAGTAAAATTGATACAAACTCTAAATTTCAATGACATTGGAATAATTTACCCTTCTTTTCAAGTTGGCCGGTTTTGCTTCTATGTACATCTCATGTGGTTGTTGGAACTTATTATAATAATAACCATAATTAGTTTATTTTTCCTCTTATTTTCTAATAATTGATTATTGAACTTTATACGATATTCCAGCTCTCGAGTTTAAAATCAAACAATAATTTTTATTTAATATTTATTTTTGAGTTCAAATTCAAATAACCTGTTATGTGAAAATAATTATTGTTTGAATGGTGGGATTACTCTACTCCCTACCTTGTATTTTTTGCACGTTCATGCATTAAATTTCATATAAATAAATATTGAAATTTAGAGATAATAATAAGATGATTTTATTGTAAAAGTGATTTGTGTGCTGGTGAGAAGGGATGATCGAAGACGTAATGCGGTCTGAAAAGCAGGAGGGCTGGGGTGGGTGGAATATTTGTAGGAATATTTGTAAGTGACCCCATAACTAATTACAAACCAAAAGTCCCTTTGCCTTGATCAACTCCAGCTTTACATTTCACGTAACCTTTTTATATTATTATCGTTTCTTAATTAATTAGTTACCATTGAAGTTGACCATCCACCTACTCCAGTTTTTCCATTTTGCAGAATCGTTTCATGTTTTTGCATAATAATTATAAATTAATTAATTGAAGGGGTGTTTTTGGATTTATCAAGATAATCTTATTCAACTTTCAAAACAAGATTACAATCAATAATCTTAAATTTTGTAAATATGTTACATTTTAGTTATTTTTAATTTACATATTTATGTTTCAATTTTTCATTGGAGACCAATTACATATTAGAGCCTAATGGTATAAGATTAAAGTTATTAAATGTTAATCTAATTGTTTGTATATCGATATGAATCAAGCGACCTTAGTGATTAAGGGATTTATTGTTATCCCTTGGGATCCCGAATTTAAACCTGTATATGAAGGGGTATGAGTATTCATTGTCAAATAATTAAGAATTTTTAAACTTGTATTATCTTATATTTATCACAAATTTATAATAAAAAATTGTGTAACACCGCACCAACCCACCCAGAAATCCTGGCAATGGCCCAAAACTGAGATTACCCAGATTCAGTTCTTTTCCTTTGTTTCACTGTAACAAATTCTAATTTATTCTTAAAACAATTTTCTATATTAAACAAATAAACTATCAAATCTAATTTAACTTTTTAAAGTCTCTCTCTTTTCTTTAATTTTACTTTGAAAGAATTTTATATATAACTTTTAATTTGATCTATTTAATTTTTAAATTTGATTCAAATTAATATATCTAATTTGATTTTAATTAAAATTTGAATGATGAAATAATTTTTGTAAATTTTTTTCGTTTAATTATACTTAATTCGATTGGAATGTTCACCCTTAAATACTTAAATATTATAAATCAATATTTTGAAAGTTTCGATTATGACGATTCATTTCAAACACAAGTTATATATTATTTTGTAGATCGTCCATTTTATGGTCTAATCTTTATGATGTAATTAGAAAAAACAAATAAAATTAATTTAAATTCAGATTTTTATAATATTAAAACTTAAGTTTGAATCGTATTTTAAACAAATTTATGTTTTGTTGAAATATATTTTTTAAATTTAATATTCCGTCCAAATATTGTAAAAAAAATTATATATTCCGTCCAAATATTTTTAATATTAAATTTTGCCACTTGTTCGCTTCTTTCTATTTTTTAATTAGTAGGCGTCTTAATGTTGGTTGCTCCAATCGATTTTTCTTTGTTCTTTACTTTTGTTTCATATTTTTATTTTATTTTTAAAATTATGCTTTTATGATACGGCTTTTTTATCTTCATGACACTTTTTTTTTCTTTTAACACGCTTTTTCAGTTTTATTTTTCAATAATTTTTATCGTTTATTTTTTTTAATGTTGAATTTAACATCGTCACGACTGATCAAGATGTCGTTAATTTGTTATCCCGTTGATATTTTTGTTACGGACCCTCGAATTAGATTTAGATATGCAGTCTATATTCGTAGATAGTTTTCTCATGATGTTTGACTTTAATTTGCTTTTGTCTGTAGTCTTTCGATATTTTAATCCAATATTGTGGTTTATTTACCGTAACAATTATATATATTCGTCTCTATCAATTGTTCGAGATTTTTTGAATGGGTTTTTCACATTTTCATTATATGGTCCATATATAATCTTAAGTGATTAATTTTCTGTCTTAATGGTTATAGAAGAATAACAAAATTATGTGTTCAATTTACGAGGTTAATTGTAAACCCTAATTATAATTTAAATTTTTGTCTTAATAAAATTAAGGGTAAACTATGCAAATGGTCACTAATGTTTGAGTAAGTTTTTATTTTCACCACTGATGTTTCAAAAGTCACAAATCGGTTACTAATATTATCGTTAGTTACAAATTAGTCACTCGACTTTAACAACCGTTAACAGCCGTGACGAAAAACATAGCTGATGTTTCCTCTTCGTTGTTGGGTTTTCAAATTTTAATTTATTGTTTGTTTGATTTTTCATTTCGTTGTTGAAAATTCCGGGTTTCGTTGCGAAACCAGAGACGTTGCCTGATGGAACGGTGAATTTGATGGTGTGGCATTGCACGATCCCTGGTAAAGCAGGCGTAAGCTAGAGATTCTATTTATTTTTTGAGATTTTTTTCTATTGTTGTTGGTTAAGTTCAAAGGATTCTTTTTATGGAAATGGGTTTGTTTGTTTGTTTGGCATTTGGATGCTGATATGTTGTTTTATGCTTAGGATATTCTTTTGGGTTTTTCCATTTTGGTTAAAATTAGACAGTAATTTTGAGATACTATTAGAGATGGAGCCGAATGGATGAAATTGAAACCTTAAGGTTTTTTGCGATATAATTGTGTAAAATTGCAAACAATTCTGAAAAATTGAGCGTTGGCTTTATATTTCATAATGATGCTTGAAAGGTTGGCTTGTACACCGTTGAATGGGTATTCACTATTTTTTATATATTTTTCTGGAAAGTTTTAGGAAAATGATGATTGATTGGAAAACCGGTCAACACTGGAGTTTATGCTGACAGTGGAGCCGATATGCATTTTTTCAATTTATATATATTTTTTTACATAGAAAGGGAAATAAAGATAATTATTAGCCTTGTATGATGCAAGTTTTTGTTGTATTTAAGCAATCTTTTATGTCAGTTGGTAGGCTGCATGTACTTTGCACCGCTGAACTTGCTTTAATCAAGAGTTTATGAACTAAGGCCTGTGAATTGTGGAGCTGGGACAATATGTTAATTGTCACTATTTGTATCATTTATATGGCATTGTATAGCTGATTAACTGCAAGCCAAAAGACCTATTCTAGTGGTTTATTTATTATTGCTTTCTTTTTATTTCTGGGGTTCTAGTGATTGCTAAAGCTCTAGGTCTCCTTCTTCCCTTAATTGCATTCTCGTACAAGAACATAGAAACCTCATTAGCATTTTTATCATGCGAGTCCATTTAGAAAGTTTGTCATTTGTTTTGGTAATTAACTTCAGGTGAGGTGTTTGTTCAAGTTTTGTCTCATTCATTTCATTACTCATGTTAATGTAGTAGATTTCTTTTCATTATTACCGGGCATTATTATCGTAATAGTTCTTTTTCTTGAAATTCTACTTTCCCTGTTATAATTAAAAGTAGGTTTTATTGTCTTTTAAATTACCCAGTGCCTGGTTTTTAAGGTATCTGCAATTTTGATAAGTAGCATGACACTTCAAGCAGCCTCTTATAGAATTACAGGTCTTGAGATTTTCTGACTATTTGTACATTGCAGATTAAGAGCTAACAAGTTTGGGCCGCATGTTTTAGGTTTGATTTGCGGCACTGCTGATTGTTATTGTTACTTAAAGAGCTTCAGCTTTGTGTTACTATTGACTTTTA